CTTCGACACCGTGTCGCACAGCATTCTCCCCTGCCCCCTGGGCTGCCCTTTCTCCAGGTTGAACAGTCCCATCTCTCAGCCTCTCTTCATTATGCAAGATGCTCCAATCCCTTAGTCATCTTTGTGGCCCTTTGCTGGATTCACTCCACTATGTCCATGTTTCTCTCTTGCCCAGCAGTGAAACCAGCACTCCAGCTAGACCTCAGTAGGAAGGACATCCTTCCTCCATCTGTTGGCAGCACTGCTAATGCAGTCCAGGACGGTGTTGGCCTTCTTTGGCTTGAGAGTGCATTGCTGGCTCATGATCAGCTGCTTGTCCACCAGGACCCCCCAGGTCCTTCTCCATAGTGCTCCTTTTTAGCTGATCAGTCCCGGTGTGTACTGGTACATGGGATCATTGCTCTCCAGATGAAGGACTGAGCATTTCCCTTTGTTGGACTTGAAGAGATTCTTCTCTGCCCAATTTCCCAGCTTGATGAGGTCCCTTTGAATGACAACACGACCATCTGGTTTATCAGCCATTCCTTGTAGTTTGTATCGCCTGCAAACTTGCTGAGGGGGCACTCTGTCCCTGTGCGCAGGTCAGTAATGAAGATATTAGTTTTGGCCAAAGTATCAGCCCCTGGAGTAGACCACTAGCAACTGGCCACCACTGGTGCCACTGGTCACCACTCTCTGAGCCTGGTAGTTCACACCAGTTTTCAGCCCACCTCACTGTCAAACTCCACACTGTTGGACAGGGTTTATGTGTAAAACAATTTAAGTGTTGTCACATTTGATTGTTTTTTATAAGAAAAGGGGTTTCTATATGTTTTCATGTTGTAGTAATTGAAAGCCAATTTATTCAAGTTTAACAACGGATGCTATCTTCAGAAATTTACAGTGAAAGCTTGTTTCTTTTTGATAGTAAGATAACTTTCTTAATATGTTTATGTAATCACAGAGAACAGCAAGTGTTGTCTGACTCAAGGTGTGCTGTCTCATTGCATGTAACGCTATTCTTCTGTCATCTTTCTACTAATTTTTGAGTCCAGAGTTAACTTATTTTTTGGAACATCTTTACTGTGAACATACTGTTACCATATTATGACATAATCAGAATCAAGAGGAAACACTAATTAGTAAATCCACTGGTACAGAAAGGATGTATTTTAGAGTAGGAAAGAAATTATACAATGAGAACCACACAATAGTTTTGTGTGCACCTCTGCTATGTCTGAAAAAGGCCGTAAAATCATTCCTGGCATGTCTCATTGCTGGCAGAATTTTACATGTGGTCATGTAGAAAGCTGTCAGTGTTTTTGAGTGATAGGATAAATGTGACATTGCATAACAGCCTCTTCAGAAAGTCTGTCTGAGGGTTTGTGATAATGCTTCATACTGAAGTTTGGGCATTTTCACATTGTACAGTTGATTTTTATGGCCAGTGTCCTTTGGGCGGGGGGTCTCTCATCCTAATCCAATACAGAGTCAGTGACCTCGTCAGTGAGGTGAGGAAGGCAGCCTCTCCTTGTGTCTGCTTTCCAGCCCTGAAATTGGAGCTGACTGCTATGGGCAGTGCTTCCAGACTTCATGAGTGTTTGTTAAACCACTTTGAGGTCATGAGAAGGAAGGTGCTATAAAGTGTTTAGTTATTCTCTTTATGAAAATGTTTGTGGCAAAGGATTTTTTAACTTTTTCTGAGTAATATTTCCTAGCTAATCCTTGCTTTACCCTTTCTTCTCCCTCCTTCAGCTCATTTCCCCCACCCCAAAAAGAGCAGAGCTTGAAATATGAAGCTAAAAATTATGCTGACTTTTCTCAAAAAAACCCCAAAACAACCTCAAAAGCGAACCCACACCACCCAGTTTTTCATTATAGCATCCCTCTTCTTGGTTGTCACAAAACCTATTTACTACAAGAATATTGATAATTCACAGGTACTTTTCTTCTTGGAACAGATTAACATATTTATTAATCTGATTCTACTGGGATGTGCACGCTGCATTGCTCTGGCTTATTTACACTGCGGTGGTGGTGGTGGCAGTCTTTCATTCTGAGTTGTGCAGTGTAAGTTTGGTTATAAGCATAAAAGAAAATGAGATTGCTTTAGGAGTAAACTTTATTTGGGAAAGAAATTTGCTTTAGATATATGAGTGGTAGTAGAAGATGAAGTTCAGCAGAAAGTTTCTTCAGAAAACAAAAGGAGGATGTACCTCAAATATTACCTTGCTCTTTTCCTTTTTTAAAAAAGTATACATTTTGTTGTTTAAATGTAGATTGTAAATAATGGACCCTTATTTATCCCTGAATCATTTTAACTTCAGGCTTCCTGGGTTATGATCTTTGTTTGCAGTGTCAAGTCTGTGATGAGAAGTCAAAGATACTTAAAATATCTTAGCCAAGGAAATGTGCTACTGGCACAGCACCACAGTTACGTAGTACCTGGTTTACTTGATGAACTATTACAATTAACAGTCTGAAGGTTCTTACTTGATCACTTGGTTAATACAGGATAGTACTGGAATGAAGTTGTGGAAGAAACGGTGGTTTGTGCTCTCAGATCTGTGTCTCTTCTATTACAGAGGTAAGTTCTGCTCAGGAAAGCTTCATTTGCTGATTTTACTGGAAGCAGAGAAATTTTGACACACCACTCAAATGCAAGAAATAAGAAGCTGCTACTTAACTTAGTGGATTAAAATAGTTGTATAGCTGTCAATATCCAGGCCTGCTACTTGTATTTTTTTTTTTCTTTCTTAATTACCAATTTCACATAATTGCTTCCTGCCTATCAGGTATGCTCAAAGGGCAGACTCATTCACAGACGCCTCCTTTATTAAATTCTGGCTTGTAGTTTTCTCACTGCTTCTGTTGCTAGGAACTAAATATGCCAGGTTAAATCTAATTTTTCATGCAAATTAAGTAACTGAAACGGGGATAGGAAAGGGATAGTGCAGAGGAGCTGAAACTCTGCCTTTGGAATGATAAAGAGGATAGATATGCCTTTTGGGAATCTAATCAGTGTTCGTGAATACTTATAAAGTGAATGTTGTCCAATTCCATATGAGTAAAAGTCTCTGCTGTATCTGGAACAAAGAAATCTGTTAGTACCCTTATGTAGCTACATGAGACTTATTTTATGTGGGAAAAATTAGCTGCTTATAATTCTGGTCTAGAGATATGTATGTTAAAAAACTGATTCCTTCACCATTACAGATTATTAACTGTAGTACTTCTGAGGGGATAAACAAATGGGAATTGCGCATATGGAAATGTGTTCAATCCTGAAGTAAGGTGTACAACTGTGATAGTTTAAAGGAGGCTAAATACAAAGAAGATTGTAAAGCATGGCAAAATAGAGGAAAATAAACAGTTAAGGCCATCTGCAGCCTTAACTGCAGATGAAAGTGTAAAAAGGGTTTCAGTTTAGGTTGAGACTTTAGAATTGGTAGAAGTGGTGTTGATGCTATTGATGCTGAAAGCAGTGACTGATGAATTTAAGATGCTGTTCTGTTAAAGTGCATCATGGTTCTAATCTAATCAAGACAGATCAAGTCATGAAACATAAAAGCTCTGTAACTGTAACTGGTTTAGTCAACAAATTCAGAATTATTGAAATATAATCATTAGGCTTTGTTTCTTTACCGCATGAAGATAGCTGGATAAACCACTGCTGAGTCAAAATTAGGCTATAATTTCAGTCATGGAGGCATCGATGGTGATACAACTACACTGTATTTAGTTAAGTAGTCATTATATACACTGTGCTTTCTTAAATGGTTTCCTTATTTTAAACAAGTCTTCAGGTTCTCTCTTCCAAAGGTTCTAAAGAAAGTGCTGCTTTGTAGCTGCCTTAAGAACAGATTAAATTGACTTAAAACACTGCACATGAAGTATCTCAAAATAAAACAGAAAAAGCAATAAGCAAAACCAACAACAAATAAAACAAATCCGAACAGCTCTGTAATCTTACTTTTTCATTTCTACGTTAGTGTGGAAATACCAGCAGAATAGTCTAAATTGTTTACATGATAAGCTTAGCTTTTAGCTATCACTCACTAGTAAGCAGTTAAAACTTATAAACTGTAATTAAACATGTATAGTGATAGTCTTAAAGGTATTAGAAATGGCTACTAAAATGTAAAAAACTTGCACTCTAAGCCCTGTGCCTTTATTTTTTTGTTAATTCTGTCTCAGATATTGCAAAAATGGGAAGTGTGGAGCCATGCACTTACTCCCAGCACAAGCAGTGTTTCTGGTTGTGCTGTTGTGGTTGTCGGGGTTGTTTTGGTTTTGTTTTTTGGTTTTGTTAGTAAATCTTACTGAACTTTTACAATGTGTTATAACGTTAGCAGCTTAAATCTGATAGATCAAAAGAAAAATTATTTCATTTTTTCAGAGCTTAAAGAATACTCTTTTTTTCTGTTTCATGGAGGGATAAAAGACTGCCCACCTTCATATTGGAGCCTTGTTGTTGCAACAAATAGAAGATCTTAGAGCTGGTCAGAAGCTCAGCTATTTTTCTCTTGTATTATTCATACACCAAATACAAGTAAAGATGGGTATAGGGCAGTGTAATGTGTAGATGAAAGCTAGTCTGATGGGAAACAGATTTTTAAAATCTGGAAATGGAATGTAGCAGTATGTCTTCAACAAAGACCGAAGTCCTCCAGACATGCAGCTGTTCAGTGGAACGAAAATGCTTAATGCTTTTATATGGCAATAGTGGGTGTGACTTAGTCATAAATCAAAGTATAATCTAGCAGAAGAAAGGAATTTTTCCCCAAAATAGCAGTCCAAATAAAGTAAACCCCAACATTTGCCATGCATTCTGGGACAGGGGAAAAAAAGGCAGATTTTTGTGTGTTTATGGCTAGCATGGAGTAAATATTTAAGAGGGGGAGATGCAATGGTTTCAGGCATACTTATGAGTACAGTTGAGTACCTGAAAGTAAATCTACTCCATTTCTTTTCTACCTTTTAATTGGAATAACTTTATACTCAGTTCTCAATTAAATAACTGTCCAAGAAGGCATGATTTTTACATCTAACATGTTATGTAATGCTAATATGGCTGGGCAGAGCTTTCACCATATGAATAAATTAAATGAAAGTTGTGGCTTGTCAGAATTTAGTGAGTAAACGAGGACCAGGAAAAGATTTTTAAAGCCAGGTATAAGAGGTAGTCCTTTCTTGCTTTTTACATGTATTTTAATTGTAACAGTATAACTTTTCCATGCTTGAAACTTTGGAATATCTGTGTTTTCATCTTAATTTCATAGATACATAGTCATTTGTTGTGGGTGGTATCTTCAACTAAGAAAAGTGTTATGGGGAACAGTCTCCTAAGATGCTGGTTGGTAACAGAAACTCTGTATCTGAAATACAATTAAGATTGACTTTGTGCATTGCATCCAATTGTTCCTTTATTAAAGTATAGTTGGATTTAAGAGCTGGTTATTCCTTACAATTAATATGTCAATTTATTATTGCAATGTATTGTTCTAAATTTTTTTAAAATATAATGTTCTCAAAAAAGGGTGTTTGGTTTGGAGAATTTTTGTTTGCTTTTTGCAAATGATCTGAAACATATGCATTCTTATGAATAGAATGTAATTGAGTACATACTGTTCATGGGAATTATAGCAGTCTCATAGCTTAATATGCCTGATATCAGAAGAGGAGTGTGCAAATTTTCTCAAAGTCTAACAATCCTAAACAGGATTTAAAAATACACCTGCTCTCATGGGTATTTGCAATTTTTGCTGAGCAGGCAATAGGTAGCAGATATTGTTGTTGTTACTGAATTAGAGGTCTGACTTCCATCTGCTTTTCAGCTTTGAAGTCATATGCAGGTACACACTGATCCCCAGAAAAAACCCTAGATGAAGCTATTTGTGGCGTTTTCCGTAACACAGGAGATTCCATAAGGTAGCTCACAGCTGCCGCTCTCAGGAGGGTTTTTTATGCTTGTCCATCTTGGGGAAAAAGTTGAAGGTGGCCATATTCAAATGGCCTCGATTTCACAGTGCTTAGCAGGTTTTTGGGGGTGCACACTTGTGTGGTGGCGGGTTCTGTGGCACGTGTTGGCAGAGAGGGACTGCACAGTGGCTGTTGTGGACTGCACACTTGTGAGACTGTGTATACAGGCACCTACGTAGCAAGTCAGTCTGGCTTTCTGATCCTGTAAGGCATTTTCTTCTGAGGTAAACTTGTGACTGGTCTTTTAAGTGCAGAGTTTCACTGAAGGGTCTGAATACAAGTATTATGTCCCAAAACACTTTGTTTCTCTGATCAAAGAATATACATTCACAGATGAGAAAGAAGAAGGGATACTAGGTAGCATACTTCTACCTAGTTTTCAGATATCTGTGCTTTCTCCTGAGGACCATATTAACCGCAAATATGCCTTTAAGGTAAGAGAATCAAATTTTCAGTTTAATTTTATGTCTGAAAGCACAATAGTCTAGTGAACAGAACTAATTTTACTGAGAATTGACAAACAGGATTGACAAATAGCTTCTAAGACTGATTTTTGCAGAATACAGTAGCAGAGGATTCAGGTATTTAGCCTGAGGTAAATGCAGACATAATTACTAGAATAAGAAAATGGATGAATATCACTTACTATTAGTCTTTTATTTTTGGTTCATGGATCTTAAATACTGTGTGGTGTTTTAGAATTGTAAACTGTGTCTGCAGCTAGACTTATACCACTACTGAAAGTTCTTTAGTTATTTAAACAAGAAGTGTCTTTACATATAGATAAAAATAAGGGTTTATTATCACTGAAATCACAATATTACATGAGTCATTGTTAGGAGTGTTTCACAGCTAATCTTTTTAATCATTATATAAATCACTCTACTAAATATTTTCTCTTGACCTCTGTTTTGTTTTATGGCTCTTCTTTTGGCCTCCTGAGCAACACATAATTTATTTGCTGTGGTAAGTACAAATTAAAACTTACTGTGTCATCCAGACTGCAAAGATCTATGCCAAAATCTTATTTATAATCATTATATTAATTTACATTAATGGATAGTTAAGACCATTTTAATAGATTGAATAAATTTAAGGGCTTTTTAATTAGTGTATTAACGATGAAGCATCTATGATTGAAAATTATAGGCAATTATTTTGAAAATATGAATGCAGTTGTAAGGGATGAAAAGAGAAAGGGGGGCAGCAGTGACAGAGAAACATTGACAGAGAAAATATGAATGCACTTGTAAGGGACGAAAAGAGAAATGGGGACAACAGTGACAGGGATACATTGAAGTATTTCTTCTGATATTTTTTCTGATAATATTATTTGCAGAAATATTATTAGAGAAAACATTAGAGCAAGTATACAGTAACATTATTTACCTCTTTTCTTTTACAGAATCTTACATTTTTATTGCAATGTCCATGTCATTTCCAATCAGGCAGCTCATCCAAACATGAGGACCTATTATTTCTGCACAGATACAGGCAAGGAAATGGAGTTGTGGATGAAAGCTATGACAGATGCAGCACTTGTGCAGACAGAGCCCGTGAAAAGGTAATGTGGATTTTCAAAACAGTGGCACAGTGCATTTCTTCGTATTTAGTTTGAATTATTTAAATGAGAGGGCATACCTTAAAATACAATGTAAATTGTCTGAAGTAATTTCTCCTTATATTGTAGAAGCCTTACTAATTTAACAATGTTGGAACAAATTTTCAAGTAGTAAAAATTAAGTTCTGTTCTGAATATGGAAAGGGCTAGTGGACAAAAACTTGACTAGTTGCTTTAGCCAGTGGCATCAGAAGAAGTGCAATGGCAAGTACTATGTGCAGGCATGGTTGACTTCCCCTGCCTTCCTGACTGAGCAGCAATAGCAGCTCAACTGGTCCTAGTCTTTGTCTCAAATTTGTCATAAGTCTCAAATTCACAACCGTAGTTTCTGGCTAAATTAAACAGCTGCACCTATGGGCAACGTGCAGGGTGCCATTCTTGTTCAGCATTAAGCTGTCATCAAATTTATACTGACCTGATCTGGAGCCTTGCCCTTTATGGAATCACACAGAGTCCCAGAATGGTTTGGGCTGGAAAAGACCTTGGAGATCATCGAGTTCCAACCCCCCCTGCCCAGGACAGGGACACCTCCCACTAGACCTGCTTTCCGCCCCGTTAGTAACACAACTCGTGGTATTAGCATCCCATAACCCCAATTTTTCGGCTTCCATGGCCCAGTATTTTCTGATGTACCTGAGTTCCTACGTATCCATGTATGTTTTATGTATCTGTGTGTTAACAATGAAAAGCAAGTTATCACTGGAAGCCTTGTGTTCTCAGAAACCCAATATTGCCTGTTGCTGTCTATCCAGTAAGAGTTGTTTTCTCTCTGAATATTATCCTTTGGGTTGGCTCCATGTCATCAATATTGGAAACCCTATCAATGGAAAACTTAAAAGCTCCTCATTATTGATGACACAGAAATTATTGCTGATGACTGCTGGCACTTGATCTACTTCTGCGCTCTGTTAGTTCCTGCTACACTGGAGCTAAATGAACAGCAGCAATGCTGAGAACTTTCACATTTAGAAAAAAAAGAAAAAAAGGTTAAAAAATTCCATAGACATAGATACCAAAGAAGAGAAAGGAACAATTTTTGTGGCAGAGTGAGAACACTGAACTTGTCAAAATACAAGCAGTCTTTCTGAATTTTGCATCACTAGTGCAAGTCATTCCTGTTAACTTGTTCCTGACATTTCTGTATCCCATGTTCCCGTATGGTGCTGCCAGAGGCATAAAATGGAATGCAGAATGATTAGACACTTCTAGTTGTACATGTTTTAACGTCTTGTGAGCTTCTCAGTCAAATGTAGTGAAACTTTCACTTACATGAATCTATGGGGCATTCAGAAGGATAGTAAACTCAGAACACTTTTAAACTTGTACCCATGCAACTGCTCAGTCATTAATCTTAAACAAAAGGTTGAAATCTTAGCTTTTGTCTCTAACATCTTTTAAATACCTAGATAACAGATGAAGTATTTCATTCTTTGCATTGGACAGCGTAGTGAAATAGCTTCGTAATAAAATATGTTGTTCTCTGTACTATGGAAAAATAACATGTGTGCTTCAAGCTCTCCGCTGTCATGTTTGTTTTTCCCAAAATCACTGAAAATAAAAGATTTCAGCTTGTAGAAAGGAGGAGTGGTAGGTCCAATTACCACACTGAAATTTGATAGTCAGCTATGTATGATTTCATATTATATATGAAGATGTTATGTTCTTTGTCTGCTGTAACCCTCCTCTTGTTGGGGATCAACAGATGATATGGGGAAGGGATGAGCAGAGTAAGAGAGAGCATAAGCAAGTAGATACTTAGTAGTATTTTCACCTTTTAATTTCTTTGTTCAGAGCTTTTAAGAGATTGCACTGAAAAGAATGGTGTTACCTTGACAAAATAAAATATCTCATTTATCTTAGTGAATAATAAACTTAATCTGAAAAATGAGTTTTGGTTCGTTGTAATTGTTAAGTGTATTGCAGATAGCTGTGGTAGCTTACAGATGGAGAATGACTAAACCAAATCAGATCCACTTCACTCAGACAAAAGTCATGTATTGATTTTATAAGCACTTCATAGGGGGAGTAATACTGAAGTGGGCCATTCTGAATCTCTTTGAACCAGTTAAATGACCTTTATTTGATGTGTGCAACACTGTGAAGATTGAATGTTTGAAGAGGACATCTTTATAGCAGAAAAGAATTAATGTGAGAAAGGTACATCTCCATCTGACAGAGCCTCCTTAATAGGTGTGGTCTTCATAGTCTCTCCTGTAATAGTCAATGCTCTATAGAAGGTATTTGGTACACCTCATTATATAAACAGATGTTACATTATTGCTTGTTGCATTTCTTTTAACATAAGAAGCAATCCAAGATGGTCATGTAAATATGCTTCTTTTTTTGGGCAGTTTGCTAATACAGCTGTACAGTCGTGTTTGGTGCCTCGGAGCCTAAAAAGACTCATAATGAGCTCACCCTGGCACTTGGCGCAGCTTGCAAGCTAGTTGTCCTTCCTTGGATGCAGTGCCACGGCTGCTCTAACGAGACGATTGTGCAGTCTGCTGCCGTGAAGGGTGTTCCAGCCTCCCAGAATGCTTGGCCATGCACTCCTATCCCCTTCTTTCAGCCATAGCGCCTGTTTCTGCACTGACATCTGCCTGTTTCAGGTGTCTGACAGCTTATAGGCAAATGGTGGGGATTCCCAGTGCAGCTGAACTTATCTTACACTTTTCATCCAGCTATGCTCCTGCAATCTGCCTTGCATTGCTTTGGGTGCTTATCTTACTCCTTGGTGAATCAGTGTAATACACTAAATGAGTAGAAAAGCACTCAACAGCAAAATCGGTAGTTTTTGGCCTGGATATCACAGGCAGAACAGGCTTGCTAACAGCCAAAACAAGTGTCAGAAAAGCAATAAGAAAGGTGACTTATGTAACACCATCTTGTTTTAATTCAGGCAAGAAACCCTAGAACGAAACAGAAGTAGATGTGACTTCTTTGAAAAGTTCGGTAGTAGTCTTGAAAAAATTACTTGAGAGAAAATACATTTCAAGACCAGTGAAGTCTCAGAGACTTTCATGTCTGTTAGCTATAATAAGGAAGAAAATCCTTCAGACATCTGCTTTCTAAAGAATCCATCTTTTGGCTATCAAACCAGTTCTTAAAATGAACCATGTAGCAGGATATGATCTTATTCAGAAGAAATACTGTTTCTTCCTTCTAAAAATCTGTTAAGTATTAAGTATTGTATTACCTCATCTCTAACCTAAAGTTTGGCACGCACGTAGCTCTAAGCATAAATGATTTTGGTTCAGTCAAATTCAGCCAGTGCCTTTGTTTCTCAGTCCTGTTTCTTTGAGAGGGTCTAACATTGGTACTGAGTACAGTGTTCTAACAGACTAGATACTTAAGATACGATAGCTAGAGTTATTAAGAAGCTACTTCCTTAAATATTTGTGCAAGCTGATGTTGAGCCACTCTTATGTGCTTGTTAATATAAATTGCCTGATGATAAGTCACAGCTTTTACAGTACAGTTCTTTAAATCTGGAAATCAAGGTACTTAGTTGCTTGTGATACTCTGGAAATCCAAACACAACAATCTGTTGAATGTTTCAGCTTTAAATATTTTCAGAGCTACAATCTGTATTTTTATTTTTCTGAGGATATGGGTTCCTTGGAGAGAAAAAGAGGTAAAAAGAATACTTAAAACAGTAAGTTGTGGGGGTTTTGGCCAGTTTTCCATAAAATATTCTTACTTTCCACATATAGTTAGACACATAACACAGAAATGAGATACTGAGGAGAGAAAATAAAAATGCAACCATTTCTTTTAGAACTGGTCTGCAGTCACAGCAGAAACACTATTCTGATGTATAACTGCAGGGAGGACAAATATTATTTGGTTCTATTGACTTAACTGTAATTAATCCTTTCTAAACTTTTTTGTTTTAATTTTACCTAGATGGTAAATTCAAGTTTAATAATGTACTGAGACCTATCAAAATAATTGAACACAAATACTTTTCTCAGTGATGAACAGTATAAGCTTATGATTCAAAATACGATTTCAAACAACCTCTAAGGATTAGCAAAACATTTTACTCACTCCATGTTGTATGACTGCAGACTACAGTTAAGTTGTGTCTGTGAGTACTGATTGCTTGCTTGTGTTTGTAGATGCTAATATCCACCAACATACTGATTTATCATTTTTACCCTAAATGCTGATTTCTCTACTCTCCCATGTTTAAGAGCATCATTATTCTATCCTTTCACTGTCAGCTGTGTATGCCAGAGCCTGTGTTTCTTCCAAGTGATGCAGCATGTACTAAGAAAAGACTGTGTTTTTTTTTTATTTTTTCCTCCTAGTGTAGTTGCTGTCCCTGAACAGCGTGAGCTAAGCTGCCAAAAAAGCACTTGTTAGCATAACGACATCCACTGTGGGGGTTTACCGACATCACTGTATTTGGAAAAGATGGCTTTTTCTCTTCAAATGCTTCTGCCTGTTTTTTTTAAATCAGTCTTCATGTCTGTCTGATACTTGATTACATGCCTCCCTCATCCCCCTTTCAGAATTACTTATTCATATAAAACAGCAGAAAATAGTACTTTTTAGTAATGTGTTGCTGTACCATACTTATTATTCCTGTTTTGTTTTAGAAACCTATAAATTGCATTTAAGTATATGCTGGAACATTTATGTTCGTTACTCATTCTCTTTTGTCTTCTCCCTCTCCCGTCCTCAAAATACCCAGCAAGTCTTGCTGAATGTCTTTGAGAACCAGATATAGATACGAAGCCAAATAGGAATAAGGATTTGTGTTTCTTAGGTTTACCTATTAGTTTCTGATCATTCTTTCCCAAGTGGATCCTTTGCTGTGGAAAGAGATCTCTTGCTCACACCAAGTTGACTGATCTGATGCACAAAGGAGAGCCCAGAAGTCTATTTGAATGTCAGTCATTCAGCCTCTATGCCATCACAAAGAATGTCAAATATAAATGCTTGGCTCTGCTGTGTATAGCCATAGTAACAAGTGGTGCAGCATAGAGATAGCATGGAAAAGCAATTCTGTGATTTTGCGGTTTGTTGTTTTTTAATTAAGATCTGCAGTGGAAAGTACTATGATCGTGTGAATCGAACACTGTGCCAAGTCTTGACTTTGCCACCTAACTGATGAATGTTCTTAGAGACGCAGAGATCCTCCCTCTGCACCACAGATTTTCCATCTGTAAAGTGGCAACTGCTTCTCTGCTGGAAAGTACCTTGAGAAAGATTGGTATAAAGTGCTATATAAGGGGACAGGTGGTACTATTGAGGCATGTTGTGTATATTGATGCCCATGTTTAGGATTATTTGGAAGGTAGTCCTTACATTCATTTGTAAACTCTTGAGTGCTGTCTGAAAACTGAAATTTTTACACCTTATTTTGACTTGAAAATTGTGGTAAATTGAGTTTTTCATTCACTTTCCTGTTTGGAAAATTCCTTTAGTTTGTGCTAGAACACTGGATAGTACAGTTTTGAGGTGGGAGGGAGAAGATGATACAGTTTTTTTTTGCCCGAAGAAACCTAGGCAGAAATATTTGGTCTTGGGAACATTTTAAAGTCTTGGGGGAAAAAAATAAAAAGAAAACACCTCACTTTTATATTGCGTTAGGAGTTTAGCACAGCATTTCTTTGCTGATACTTGGAAATTATGTAAAAGATGACACAGGTATAGCAGTTCCACCACATCTGTCCTCCCCCACAGAAGTCTACATTAAAACTGGTGCTGCATTGAGATATTTTTCTCCAAAAGTAATGGTTGGCAGAAATGTTACCCTCTCCTTTCTGGTAGCAGAAAACATCAGATGTATCTAACCTCTGCATATAATAGTGATGTATGAGAAAGAGACACTGTTTAAAAATAAAGCTGATGCATATAGCCGAAGAGATGCTCATGTTAGATTAGTGGTATGAGTATTTTAATTTGCAATATGTTTGACATGTGTGTACGCTTTCACGTCAGCACCTCAGGAATAATCACTGAAAGAAAAGGACTATTTTGAGATACTTAGATTAATAGAGTGAATTTTGGAGGACTTTTATAACACTACGAAGTATCAAGCAGAGATTGGGATCATCACAGCTGTGTCAGGAAGAGGCATGGGGGAAAAAAATCACACCCTTCGTTAACATGCGAAGTGCATGAGTATTTCATTCTAACTCATGCAATACGCAGAGGACATTGGTGTCCCACTGTTTCTGACTGAGACATTTGAAATGGTGTATTTGTCAAGGCAGGAGTCTCTTGATTCCTTTCACATCATGGAGAATTCATAGCAACAGTAGGGTGGTAATGGGAGGTGCATTTAAAATTGTCCAACATTGTTAGCAGTGGGGAGTATTTTGAAAAGGACCTTACAGTTTTCAGTCCTTTAAATATGCTGGGATTCTGTCCCAAACAGTTGTTGGCCTGTTGGGAATTTATGGCTTAAATAATCTGTTGGGGCAGTGTAGGTTTGTTGGACATTGAACCTGCATGTTAAGGACAGGGTAAGCAGAAATGCTTACAGCTGTGTGCGTAGTTACTCGGAACTAGAGCATTTTTCAGAGGAGTGGTCATACTTGTTCTCTTGGTCAGTTGTGTATGTGGTGGCCTTTTTGCACACAGATAAGGCACTTGAACTGGACACAGTTGTAAAGATGAATAATGTATTTGCAAAAAAAGATGCAAAACAGTGTGAAAGGTTGATTTGACAGTCTTAAAACAAAGTTTTGTTCTTGGTTTGGCTTTATACAGAGATGTAATCTTAAAGAATTATATCTCTTCCTCTTCTTTCCTCTTGTACTAAAAAATGTTGATCAAAGCATTTTAGGTGTTTTGGTTTTTTTCCTAGTAAACTGAAAAAAAATTGTTACTATCTGAGCTGGATGTTCAGTTCATGTCGAAGTATGCAAAAAGATAAAGCTTCTTGACATTTTTTAAATTTAAAAAGAAGATAGATAATAGAGCTGCAAACATTGAGTGGTTGTGTAAGTACTGTAAAGCAGTAACTGTTTTAAAAATATCATTATTTTTGTGGTATAGTTCCCTAAGTCAGCAGCTATTTTCCCCCTTAAAATTAGAGAAGCCACAGTTATTTTCCACTAAATGTATGCCAGCCAAAGTGATAACATAGCAGAGAAACCTAATTGATGCCAGTGACCATGAAAAGTTGTTTGCTTTCTTTAAAGGAGCTCATTATATGTTAAATTCAGCAGTATTGTGAATCACAAGCTGGTCAGCAATGTAATCTGCTACCATTTTTAAAGATGGCTTTAAAAGTCATCTGAATTTCAGGCTGTTGACATCTGGAAGCTGTATCTCTTAAGAGAGACAATGAATATTTTTACTGTTTGAATGTCCAGCCCGCCAGGGACTGAGCATCCACTTCTTCAGAACCTGGCTTTATTTCCTCTTGTGCACATTTTTTCTAGGGGGTTAATTTGAAGTTGGCTTAAAAAATTTACCCCATGTTATAAATGCTTTTAAAATTAAAAATAAATAGAGAACCGTGGAAGAAAAGGCAATCCCAAGCACGAATACAGGCTGGGTGGAGAATGGATAGAGAGCAGCTCTGAGGAGAAGGACTTGGGGGTATTGGTGGATGAGAAGCTGAACATGAGCCGGCAGTGTGCACTTGCAGCCCAGAAGGCCAACCGTGTCCTGGGCTGCATCAAAAGAAGCATTAGCAGCAGGTCGAAGGAGGTGATTCTCCCCCTCTACTCTGCTCTCGTGAGACCCCACCTGGAGTACTGTGTTCAGCTGTGGGGCCCCCAACATAAAAAAGACCTGGACCTGTTGGAGCGAGTCCAGAGGAGAGCCACAAAATTGGTCAGAGGGCTGGAGGAGAGGCTGAGAGAGTTGGGGTTATTCAGCCTGGAGAAAAGAAGGCTCCGAGGAGACCTGATAGCAGCCTACAGGAGAGATG